TATCCGCTTGACTTTTGTTTGCCGATTCACTCCTATCTGGATCTGTGTGGTTTGGAGAGGGTGGGTTATCTGTCTTGTGTGAAAGTGTAATTCAATTGTTTTAAGGAGCATTTACATATGATGAATTTCTTATTAATCCAACAGCCTCCTGCTCTAAAAAGGCAAAGGTGTGCCATAGTTAGTAAAATGGCTGCTTCCTTAATCAACTCTTGCTGACTCTTTCTCTTTCAAGCATTAGAACCTTATGAGTTCTCTAAATATGGACACCTCAGCATGAGGCTTTGCCTTAGAAACGGGAAATTGCCAATGAAATCTATTTCCTGGAAGGCTTTTTTTGTTAAAGAGAGAAACAGAAGAACACAATCTTGAAGAGCTGTCATCATATGGAAGCTAATTGGAGAGTTCCTACTGAGAGAAATGAGCTAAAAAAAAAAGACAATAAAGCTAAGCTCTCTGTTTTAGGATTGTAATGATGGTAGGGGAACTGAAAAAGTGGCGGTGCGTGGGAGGTGGGGGACATTTCCTCCAATACTTACAACAATGACAATCTAAAAGCCGCTGGACTCTGAAAGTAGTTCCTCTGTTTAGGTTTAGGTTCACAGAAAAAGAAGTCCTAACCTAGAAATGTATTGTTTTATTTGTTTTTTTTTCTGTTGGCGAGTCTGAAAAATGAGCGGTTCCCTGCAGAAGGGCACAGCCATTACAGCACAGCTGATAAGCTCCAGGATTTCACAGGAACAGCCTCCTCTGCTCTCTTTGTTTCACCACACTCTCCTCTGTTTCTATAGCACAGTTTAAAAGGCATGAACACATGAAGATGTCAGCCATGAGCAAAAGCAGCATTGGTTACACCCAAAGATGAAGTCATCCTCAAAGGCGATCCAGCAGACAGCAAAGTGGCCAAAAAACTGTAAACTCCCCTACAACATGGGTTCAGGCAGAGCTACACTTCTGTCTTTTTATTTTACAGGAAGTCACAAATGCAGCGTGTTGGCTAACTGAATTCCTGTTAATGCAGCCTGTAGCTCTGAAATGTTTCTGAGGAATGTAAATCAGCTCAGAAAGCCTACATTTGGGCCTGTTTCTGCTTAGGTTTAGTGCTGACACTTTGGCACATGATGTGGTTTAACATGACCAACACTCAGCCCTGTTTATAGTTTGCAGAAGTGCTCAACAGCCTTGCTAAAATGAGTTACCTTTTAGTTAGAGCTACAGTAGATGTAATTTATATGTTAATTATTAAACATGGACATTTCCATGTATTTAAAGAATAATGTGTTTTAGCTTTAAGACAACTGCTCAGATTGGATTTCTATGGCTGAGTCTAATTTGCAGTTTCTTATAAAGCTGTGTCTAACGTCATTCGATTATGAAATAACTTGAGTTTCCTTCTCTCAAAAATTTGACTTCATTTATATTGCTTCAGCTGCAAAAAATCTCTTGTAAACTGAAAATCAGACGGACAAGAAAGTGCTTTGTATTTTATGAAGACGTTGACTTTATGCTTTCTTCCTTTATCTCAGAAGTAAACTGGGAAGTCAGAGTAACATAATCTCCAAGGTTTCCCACTTGTTTGAAAGTCAGAAAAGGACATGGAACTCATTCTTTGCTGCCTTAATTCACAATGGCTGACTTCATGTGGGGATTGGGCCATAACTCCAACTGACTTTTTTAAAACCTTGTTGGATTATACATGGGTACCAAATTTCCTGATTCGCAGTCAAAGCATGGTTTTGGGCTTAATGTAATTTCATGACAGAAAGCCAGATTTTGGCGGTTGGCCATGCCCAGCTGCTTTGATAGAGAATAATTTTTGTCATAAGGTTTCATCCCTAATGCCTAAATTCTATGCGTAGTTAATTTGAAGTCTGTAACTCAAAAGCTGTTAGCCTAGTAAACTAGCCCCAGCGGCCAAAATCATTTTTGCCTGCAAGTTTGGTCTAGCCTCGATCAATGCCCCAGGCCCTAGAACTGGCCGGCGAATCACAATGCAGAGTTAAATTTTGGATGCAAAGCGGGCGGGGTTTTGAGAGCGTGACGATAAAGCTGCACAACGCTGGAGAAAGCACAACAAGGAAGATGGCAACAACTATTGAACAGTTGCATGTACTGCGGCAGCAGCAGCTTTCAAGTTAAAAGTTCTCCTTTCTGTTGTTTAATAAAAGTACATTTTAAGATCATTTGAGGCAAGAATATTATACTTTAAAGCGTCAATATATGGTCCATTTACTGATTTAATGCGTAATTAAAAAATAAATTTCCGAAGTCAAGAGGACCGCGGCAACCACCGGAGCTCCGAGGCTAACAGCAGCCAGGGCTAACCACAGCCCGTCTGTAGTGGCCCTCTCTCGGTATAGTCGTGTGTGAAGGACCACTGGCTCTGATGGCGATTTTTGACCCAGCTTTGGAATCAGTTTTAGAAGGATTAGACTTGGGGTTTTCGTCGAAACATGAGCAGGAAGAGGCTCTACGCTCATTCATTTTTGAGAAGGACGTATTCGCCGTTTTACCGACAGGCTGTTTGTTTACACTCCCCCACCAGCTTTCTGTCACCCTTACTACGTGACAGTCAGTTGCGCTCATTGGTCAGAGCTTTGGCCAATAGGCACAGACATGGTTTGAAAGTCAACGGGTTGTTTTCATCAAAATTCTTCCGAAGTCTCATTTATCGGGGCCAGACTAAATTACACATTTAAGCTCAAATTTAGTCTGGTTTATGAGGCTAAAAAGCTGTAGGAATTCATTCCAAAATGGCCGACTTCCTATGGGGTTTGGATCACGGCTCCAAGAGACTTTGCAGGTCCTGGGGGCATACACATGTATGCCAAGTTTCATAATCCTCAGTGAAATCATGGCTTTGGGGCTGTTTTTATTTATTTATTTTTTTAGTATTTAAAATAAAGCCATCCCTGCTAAATATTGGGCTGGATTCCTGTGTTGGGTAGGCATCATAGCCATTTTGGTGCAGATTTAATGATCTATGTGGAAATTAGAGCTAAAGGTATGGTTATGGCGATATGTCTCTCTTCGCCATGCATTGCATCATTTAACAATAACTCTATGTGCCTTAAACTAACTAAGAACAACATGTGGTATATCTTCTGTCCTAGTTTCAATTTGATGAGGTTAAAGATGTCAGAAAGGGACCCTCCCAAATAAAAAAAGGGTCTTTCTTCTGTCAGGGGTGAAAAATTTGATGATGTAATCATTTGACCAGCCAGTATCGTCACGCACTCCAAGGAGCACAACGCTACCAAATCTGCTTCAGTTATTTCATCCTAAAATGCTTGGCAAGTATGCTAACTTCGGGGTGCCATTTTTTGCCAATCGGAAGGGAGCCAAATGCCGTTTGTTAGCAGGTTTAAAAAAAACACATTAATCCACTAATTTCAGTTGGACAGAGGCTTTATAAACATTTCAAAGAAGTAACTTGATAACTAACAAGGGGTTTCCAATGTGCGGACACCAAGTTGGAATGGCGAAGGTTTTCATGATTGATGTAATTTGATGTTGAATGTCCCATGAAATAAGTAGATTAAGAATTTATTCAACTTAAAGTGTTACAATGCACAAATAAATAATTAATTTCCCATTCGATAGATAGAATTATGCCTTAAATATTTAAATACAATAAAAATAGATAATTACATAACTTTATATGTATTAATAAGTAGTAGAGTGAAGTAATTAAGTCAATATGTAGTTTTGGGGAGTTGCCAGTATGTTGCATTGTTATTTTAGGGGTCACAGACTGAAATGGAAAGTCTTTCTCACTGTTGAATCCAGAGGTCTGGTTGCCCTGGCTTTCCTACTCATAATTCCGACTTTTAGGGACTTTCCAGCTAAAATCTTCCTCTTGAGGTTGGAAAGTTTGACTTTCAGTACAACTGAGATGCAGTTTGTGTCTTCACTCAAATTTGAATGTTTTGGGTCAAATCCCTTTTAGACACCTTTTAGTCTAAAAGCTAAATTTTAGAGATGCACCAATTTGATATTAATATTCTTATCAGTTCATATATTGTTGAAAACTCCTCCGGTATGAGTACAATTTTTTTTCTCCACTAAATATTTCCTAATATTTTTATTTTGTTAATTTGTCTGTTTTTGTTTCCATATCCATCTGTCCTGACCATTACACCTCAATCATGAGCTGGGTTAACCAGTAGGCGAATGTTCAAAAAGAGTCAGAGAAATACTTGTTTGGAAGAATCGCTTAAACTATTCTTGGCAACACGCTGGCGGCATTATAGCAACAGCAACCCTGGGTGTCAAATAAGTGAAAATTATCCTTCAGGTTTTTCTTTGAATTTTAATACCGGTAGGGTCGGTGATGTCACCCCTTACTTGTGCAGTATATGCATTTGCTATATTTTTCTTCAGATTTATTTGTATATAAAAATGGAGGAAATAACGGAATTACTGTGGGATAGACTTAAATAACTTAAATTTTTTATTTGATAACAGGAAATCATATCAAAACTGAATTTGCTTCTTTGTTTTGCCGCATTTGCAGGATTTTTTTAATGTCAGATTTGCTAGCCACACAGTAGCCAAGATAACTGAAAAAAAGAGAGTTTACTTTTAGTAAACTTTGCACCTCTGCATCAAACCTGATAAAGTATTTTCAATGATGAAAAATAGTAACTTTAGATCACAGGATGCTGCTTGAATTATGGATGACAAATGTTTGTCCACAAAGGTGTAATTAACCACATTTTAATGAAATAAAATGCTCTCAGTGTGCCCATGAACACTGGTTTAAAAGCCTTTAGAGGCAAGGATCTCCAGTGTCTTCAGCTACATTGTCTAATTAGACATTCAGAGTGAAGCTTACAGGCAAACAAGCAAAACATCTGCACCACATGAGCACATTCACTTTAGAGAAGATAGTAAGATATGATAGAATAATAATGGGCTAGATCATTTATTTATGCCATGCTAGTCCCTATTTTGGTTGTGAGGCTCTGTCAGATTAATGTTTCTTTTTTTTCCAAACGCAGTTCCTGTGCCTGAAGAACATCCGGACCTTCCTGGGGGCGTGCTGCGACTCATTCGGAATGAAAAAGAGCGAACTGTTCGACGCGTTCGACCTTTTTGATGTCAGGAACTTTGGCAAGGTAAGGCAGGCCCTTGCCGCCAGTCATACAGTGACATTTTGGCATGGTTTGGGTAAATCAAGGCCTCATCCTTCCCCGCTGTGCGTACCAGCTGTCTCCAAAGATGTAGTGAATCAGACAAATGAGCCTTTATGCAGGCCCCTACTCTCGTTTAAATTATTTATTAGTTAAAACACTTTGTTTTTCCTATAATTTCAGATTTAAAATGACAACCAAATTTCTGAGGTGGAAAAAAAATAAACCTCTATGCACATTTTGTAAAGGCTGACTTATTTCAGGCTTCCTATATTACTATATTATCATATTTATGAACAGAGACATTCCATGTTTGTAGTAATTATCATATAAGGTGGTCTTACAGCACTCTTTCCACAGCTAAACTTTTATCCCAACACTGAAAAAGCAACAGCATGACCCAGCAGTTCCAATCGCCTCGTCTCATTAAAGCGAAAATGTCTCAGCATGTTGGCTTTACAAGGGTTTAAAGTGGGGACTCTGGTTACTTGTAAAGAGCTTTTATCCTTAGTTTGCAGAGCTGTGAAAGACTGTGGCTCTCTGACAGTGATGGCGCTGGCCACAAGACGTTCCCAGGAGGTTTAATTAGGAATTACAGCCTTTTGCTGAGATAAAATGCTTTAGGCTCCATGGCTTTAAATATCGACAGTATATATGTACATGTTAAATAGGATTACGTGGAAAAACCAAAGAACTTTATCTCATATATTCACATAAAATTTTATGTTTTTTAATTATTCTTTTAAAGCAAAGATAAGAATTGTAACTGTAACAAGCTCTTTTGGTATGGATGGCATTAGAATATATTTTATTAAGCTGGCTGCGTCTATGTTAAAGACTCTAAATTTAACGTAATGCAGGAAGTAACTATAGTTTTTGTCCATTTATTGGGGGATCATTGTGAATTGTGAAGGTTACTGATGAAGTCTCGTTAGAAATACTTCAGCAAGAATATTGCAACTGGCTAATTGTTAGCCACTAATGATGCTAAGGTTGAGAAAGCACCAGAGTTTACTTATTTGGATGAAGTAACCTGGTCTGCATTAGTCTTGTTCATAGTTTAAAATACTTAGTGGCCAAAGCTGAACTTGGGAAGGGAGGATTCTTAAAAAAATGGTTTGATATTTATGAAAACATCCTTCTAATTTTAAAGGGAACGATTTTCAGTAATTCTGTACTATTAGAATCACCTTTGAATAAGTACTGAATTATTGAACAGTGGTAAACATTTATTTAAAACAATTTTTGTTCCTTAAAACTTTGACTGTATTTGTGAAACACAAAGTGTAACATATATTTTTTATTTTTCCCTTGAACATTGGAATATAATTTATTTCAATTAAATGTTCTGTCATCTAACAGCTCACAAGGCTAAAACCTCCTTTAAATTAAATCTCAACAATGCTTTCGTGGCTTTTAATTTAATAGGATAAAGACATGATTTAGCGGTAAGACCAATGCTCTAACATTGCCTTTTAATGCGTTTTACTCTTTTGTATTCACAATTTTGTCCTCCAGATAAGCCAGGTTGCCTTGGACTATTTTTGTCAGGTTCAAAAAATTATGCCGCCACTCTAGCCAACATGAATGCTGCACATGTAGTACACCGCTAGAAAACTGAAGTAACTTAAATATCACAACACAGACAGAATAGAAAATAACTTGAGCTCAAAATATGCCAACACTGGAAAAAAATCTAAATCTAGATAAGTAATTTTTTCTTAAAATTTGTGCATTTTTTTCTTGAATTAAGGAGGAGAGTGAGACACTTTCATGGAACAGGACAATTTAGATTTAAAACTATCTAATTATCTAATTATTGCATTTTAATATTAAAAATACTCCTTCCAATGGCAGATCGTCTTATTTACCTACTCAAATTAAAGGTAAATACACTTAATTTAAGAAATATGGACTTATTTCTAGATAGTTTTTGCAGTGAATATACAAGCTCTGTTGACAACAAATTTATGTTCCATAAAATCCTATTTACTTCCTCCTAATTAGGCCAACTGAAAAAGACGATCCTTGCTGTTCCAAACACCATATTAGATAAATGGATAATTTTAGGCCAGTGTGACCCGGAAAGGTTACTTTGGATAACAATTTATATTCATACCGAAGCGGCTGTTTGACTTGCATGTGTGTAAATTAGGTTTGTGCTTCTGAACTTCCCTTTTTAAGACAAATGTGCAAGTCAGGTGGCAACACTGTTCCAGTGAAAAGTTTATGAAAGAGAACAGCTTGTGTAAAGCAAGCCTGTGAAACTGTTTTCTTGTAACAGCACCCATTGGCCAACATTGTGAAACAGAGTCAGCTTCTCCACTTTGCAGATTTTCAGTTGGAACAAGATGAGTGAAACCATGTGTCCTCAGTCTGGGCAACTCTTAGAATTTAAGCAAAAATGGAAGATGGTTAATTAGCTAAAATCTGCAAATAAACTTTTGGTTGACCTGATTAAAGAAGGGTTAGTTTTAATTATGTATTGAGGAGATATCATTAAAAAAATACTTTCCTGAAAGGAATAAGAAGTGAAATTAAGGGTTAAGAAATAGACAACAGTACGTGTTTACTCCCACTGATTCTACTTCCACTTAAATGCATGAGCAGCTGACTGAATTTTCATTAAGTCATTTGTAATTGAAACCCTTCTGGACCTTTAGCAGGTTTCTTTGCTTATGCCAGGAAATATTTTCACTCAGTGTGCTGAGTGAGGATGTAAATACAGATTCTCAGCAAAACTCACTAACAGATCAGGGATTTTTATTGCTCAACAACTGTTACTCATTGTATTGTTTGGATTTTCATGTTTTTCCATTGCAGTTTCCAACCATGTTTTATGTTAGAGCAGATAAAAGCTTGTCTCTGGTTTTTAATGCTTAATTTAAACAGAACTATAGAAGCATGATAGTAAAGCTAGGAAACAATGGGTTGAGATTTTACCCTTTAAGGAAATGTAGTTTAATAATTACGTTTATTTTTTTATCTTTTAAAAGTTCTTCCTTTGTTTAAATATTTAAGAAATTCTATTCAGTACACACTTTATAGCGATATAGTCTACTGCATGGCTCTTTAACTTTTTCCCATTTTTTCCTTTATCTGCTACAAAGTACAAAGAAATGTATTTCATTAAATTTTAACACCAAAGGCTGAGAACAAACAAGACATTATTTTTAAGTAGAAACAAATGATAGATGGCTTTGAAAAGTTTTAACTCATAAAAATAATAATACACCTTTCAACATCTTTTGGCACAGTGTTCAATCCATCATCTTGAAAATGGAAAGGCCGGGGCACAGTGTTGCTAAAGCGGCTCCAGAGATCCAAAGCTCAGACTGGAGAATCGATTAGTGAGGCTTTCCACAAATTTGATTGAAAACTCCTAAAAAGAAAGTTTAATAAGAGACCAGAATGGACTCTGTTGGCAGAGATGCACCAATGATTTTTTTTCAGATCCAATCCAATACCGATACCTGGGCTGATCATATAGTCCATTATGTGATACCGATCCGATTCAACGGTTTAAAGAATCAACCATAAATCTTACTATGTGAGTGAAGGTTTTAACCTTGACAAAAACCTTGTTAAAAAAGGTAACAAATTAGCCAAGATATAAATGTACTTTATATTATTTAACAACAAATAAACAGGTAAAAGAGAAAAACGTGCCAATAACAGAGAAAAAAAAGTTAATTGCCATTATCAGATATCAAACCTTCAATATCCAATCCAGCTAATTATTCAATATCGAAGCCAATATCAGATCCAGGTATCGGATTGGTATCGGATCTAAAAAAACACCACTAAGGCTTACACTGCAGTCCCCCCTAAGCACACTGTCAACAAGGTGAAAGAATGTTAGGAACTAAACAAATGAATACTGTCAAGGTTGGCTGGAGGTTGGTTGAAGACCCAAATGCAGAGATAAGGGAGGTTTAATGAAATGTAGAAAGCAACAGAAGCAAAAATCCAAGGACAATTACAGGAAAACAAAAACCAGGAGACATCAGGGGAAAACACACATGAGGAGCAAAGTAAACAGCACTGAGAAACGACACAAGAGGAGTATAAATGGTAGAGTGAACATAGACTGCTAATCAGCTGACAAGGAGCAGGTGTGAATAAAAGCAACTAAGCTAGGGGAAATGGCGCAAGGGGGCAACAGAGAGCGACACAAACACCACACACTGCCAGAAAACAACTATTAAGACAAAATTACTCTTTTTTTTTTTTAGTTTTTACGGCACTAGTGAGCCGTTTTTTTCAAGAGTAGGCTGACATGAAAGGGGTTATGAAAAAGGGGGAGAGACATGCGGCAAAGGACCACTGGTCGGATTCAAACCCGGCTGACCTGGATTCGAATCCTTCTCTGAAAATCTGACTTAAAGACCCTGAAAGCTTAAGAAGAAGCCTAAACAAAGTGCGGAACCCTTAAAAACACATGCAAAATGTTGTAAGACATCCAACCGCTGCCAGAGCTACAGTTTGATGGTTTAGACCAGAGCATACTGTATTCCTGTTTTCGAATGGCCCAGTTAGGGTTGCGTCCTGATTACATTAGAAAATCAGTGGCAAGATGAGAAAAAACTTTCCTAAGACTCATGTCCTGTATATCACATAGAATCCATCTTCCTCCGCTTCTCCGGAGTCGGGTCGCGGGGGTAGCAGCTTCAGTAGGGAGGCCACACGTCCCTCTCCCCAGCCACTTGGGCCAGCTCATTCCAGGGGAATCCCAAGGCGCTCCCAGGCCAGCCGAGAAACATAGTCCCTCCAGCGTGTCCTGGGTTTCCCCCCTGGGCCTCCTCCAATTGTCCAATTAAAATATATTGAGCTCAGATTTTGTTATGTGACAAAACGAAAGTGGTGCTGTAAGCACACATATAGAACACCGTATACAAATACCAGTGGAGTCTCATCCGTATCAGTGTTTACAAAGAGTCAAAACCGCTGTATGTGTTAATCTTTTCTTTATGAACACCTAATAA